ATTACAATTTGATTATCCATATATGAAGAATCTCCGTATACTCTTTTCATCCCAATTTAAAGGAGCATCTCTATTTGACGTTGTTTTGCATGTTTTTGTTTACCAAATAAGTAGATAAGACATTTTTAAGGGACGGGCCAAAAAGGATAATGGAATGTTTATTTTGGGACAGAGTATGTAGCAAAAATTGACCTCTACAATAACTTTAATCATTCAGACAGAAAAGTAAGTCAACCTTACTTGTTTTGATTATTACACAATTCGGCGCGCGAAAGTTACATATTTGATAAAAAAAGTTAACAGATAAACTTAAAAATAGAGTCACCAAACGGACTCTTAAGCTCATAACTAGGAAATTTGGTCTTCATTTTAATAGCTAGGTGCCTAGGTGTATATGTGGCCATCTGGGCTTGAGTTTTTTACCAATATTCTACAAAAATTATGTTTGGATTTTTGTAAGCAGTAGGTCAAATTGGGACATGGACAACTTGTATCTAAAATTAGGTCAAAATCAAATTTGCATGTGAGAAGAAAATTCATTTGAAATCATAATTCTTGCCACAAGTGTTTATCATTGTTTTGCCCACTTATGTTCGGTGTTCAACTTATATTTTAATTCATATTTTCATGAAAACCTCACACTAATTAATTAAATTCTGATTCTGCGTAAATGCAAAATTAAAAGTTCACAATTTCGTGAAATGTGTAATTCTCATTGATGATGTGAGCAACAAATTTTTATGTGGTAATTTATAAGAGCATCTGCAATGCGGGACTGTTTAGTCAAAAAAGAAATACGACAGCTCATAATTATAGACACTGTGTGTTAATAAAGGGCTCCAATGCATGCACTGTTTAATTCCGTTTTGCTGAGTTAGACAAAAAAAATACTAGACGTTGTCAAAGAGCATTTGCGAGTGTAGAAAGCCTTCTACACATGCTGAGTCATCAAATTCTACCTAAAAAAGTGTGCTGATCGTTTTGAGCTTGATACAGAATAGTTTGTACTCATTTTACTTTAATATATATACATAAATTAATTCCCCATGGTAATTTTAGTGGGCCGCAAGACTAAAAATTTGGCATTATTATTAGAGACTGCACGTCTTAGCATTATGGATGCTCTAACAGACTTGTTTATTCTAGACTTCTAGTGGTGTAGTATTGTGACATACGAAGTATATACTTTGTAACCGAGTTTGTCCAAACTATAATATGCAAAGAGATTGATTTAAATAAGAGTAAATCACTGATAATATGTATAAATAGGAGTAGGTTGCAAAAAAAAAATGTATAAATATGAGTATTTTATTTTATTTTCAAAATACAGCTTATTTGACTCAATTAAAAGCATTCATGTTTTCTGATTAAAAGCATCAATGTTTTCAGGATGAGTTCTATTTTAGAAAGAAAACAATAATAATCTTACTCGTACGTGCACTTATTTATATTTTACTCTTATTTAAAGAGTTTTTATATAATACGGAGTAACAAACAATCATAGCGGGACGGAGGGAGTAACAAACAATCATAGGCATATAGTTTTTGTACTACGGAGTATATCTTATTTGTCAATGTTTTTATTTTGTTTTCACAAATATATTTTATTATTTTGGAAATTGAAAACATTTAAAATTTTCAATGTGGAGTGGATTCGTGATGGTCTATACTATCCGGAGTCTCCAAGGAGTGAAGTGGTGGCACTGTCAGTCACTATTACTTTTGAACTATGGTATCAAATTTTAGGATGTGTTTCTGTCACCATTACATTAGTTCTCTCAAGGGTTTTTCGTCAAAATAATAATCGATTTTTGTGATCCCTTCATTTGAGCTTAGCAGACCAGAACACTTTTCCGTAGTGCCATTAAGACAACACACTGTTTTGAATTGATACATTGTGACATTTAGGGAGCCTATATGTATGATTCAGTCTCTAGAGTACAATACTTTCTATCTATTGTTGATGATATTATCAGAAGTGCGTGAGCTTACTTGATGAAAAAATATTTGAAGTTCCCTGCTATTGATTCAATCTTGTAACATGATAATTATCCAATTTATTGAATGTTATGTTAGAAGAATGCGGACCAATAATGGCGCTGAATTACAGTCCAATATTTTATTGGATTATTACAAGTGCACATTAAGGAATAGGGAAAACTGTCAAATAGGTCCTCGAACTGTCATAAAAAAGTCAATTAAGTCCTTCTATAGGAGGTTCTGTCCGGTTTTCCGCGATTTGGGGCAGTTCCCGGTGGAATTTTGTGATGAAATTTTTTTAGCATCTTATTCACCAAGTCTAGTTTATTCATACCAAATTTCAGCTAAAATTCAATCGGGAACACATTCAAATTAATTCTTGAAGATAACTGCACATTTTTGCGTTCTCGAATTAATTTGAATGCGCTCCCGATTAAATTTTTAGCTGAAATTTGGTATGAATAAACTAGACTTGATGCATAAGATGCTCAAAAATTTCATCAAAAAATTCCACCGGGAACCGCCCCAAATCGCGAAAACCGGACAGAGTCTCCTATAGAAGGACTTATTTGACTTTTTTATGAAAGTTCGAGGACCTATTTTGACAGTTTTTCCTAAGGAATATTATTGGAGAGATCTTGTACAGATACATCACAATAAATTGACATTGTAGAGCGTAATCACATACATTTTTTAGAAGTTGCTAGAGCTCTTAGACCATTTCCACTTCGGATTGTCCATTAATTATTGGGGATAGTGCATTTTGAGTGCCGTATATACTATCAATAGATGTTCATATGGGTTTCAAATAAAAGTCTTTATGAAATGTTGTTCGATAAAGCTCCTAGTTACGATCATTTACGGGTACTTAGAGATGTTTGGCAAATATACACAACAATAATAAGCAAAACGATAATTTTTTGAAGATGGATGAAGTTGTTGTATAGGACATTACATGAGTAACAGTTCAAAATATTTTAGATTTCCAATATACTTCCTCCATTATTTAATTCTTACAACATTGTGATTTTTGCAAATCACAGACCTCACTTTGATCACGATTTTCTACTAATATACATAATCAAATTATTATGTATACAATATTATTGAATTCCTATTAATGTGAATTTCCAAAATATCAACTTTTTATAATGTTTACTAATACATAATTAAATATAATTACAGTCAAAGTAGTGCATTGACAAATGTGAAAGTCACTGTTGCAAGAATTAAAGAAGGGAGAATAGTATTATGTTTCACGTGTATTATAATTTTACGGCTTTGCCCCTTCTTCATAAGAAATATGAGATGTGTCACATGTGACGTTATTTACAAAAATATAAACCGTATAACTCGATTACACAGGAAATCGAAATATTTCTACCGTTCATAAAACTCACAATCATTATAAACCTTGAATGTTCTTTGACTTTCTCAATTTAAATTTAATACGGAGTAACATCTACTCTTTCTAGTTACAAGAATAAAGTACATATGATAAGTCAAATTTCTTCCCCCAAAAAAAGTCAAATTTCATGAAGAATCCGTGATACTTTTACCTAAGAAAATATTGCCACTTTGACTAAATGACTTACTCCGACCCCTAGGTGCCACTAAGATCGATCACACAGTACATGCCAAAAACAGCAAACTCTCCCCACACGCACATTTACACTGCTTTGTCATCTGGTCAAACCCTCAAAGCATGATTGGTGCATTTCATATACTATGCGTGGAGTAAGAAGTTATCAAGGTAAAGAATAGGTTTTTTGTACATGAGAAATGGAAAACGTGATAAAATGGAAACATCAAACATGGCAAATTTATTTTGTGTAAAAAGTTTCACATTTAATTCTAAGATTTAGTGCAACCAAGAGGTAAATAAGTGAAAAGTACAAATTTGATTTGTTCAATCCAAAATATCGATATCTCATTCATTTAAAGAGACTAAAGTAGGTTCATCGGTGTCTCAACAGTGCCAAACAATGTCAAACAATGCCAAACAGTGTCTCAACAGTGTCAAACGGTGTCTCTACAGTGCCAAACAGTGTCTCTACAGTGTCAAACAGTGCCTCAACAGTGTACTCTCAGTAAAGTCAATTTTTTTTTTCTTATTTTGTGTGAAGTCAAAGTGTGAAGATTAAATAAAACCGGAGGGAGTATTCACTTTTAATAATCATTTATTAAATGTCATTTTTAAATAGTTAGAGAATTAAACTTGAGAAAATTAATAGATAAGGATCAAAAGTCATCTTACAATGTGTCATCTTACAATGTCCGAAGAACTAATGACGTTTTTAATTGAATAGGTTTCCATCCCCAGAAAAGACCACAATGGATCAAGATAGACTTAAAACGACTCGATCAAAACAAACCAAATCAAACCTAATCAAAATACATAGAGAACAAATATCCCCAGATCAAGCAAATTACATTAGACTTGAACAGAGCAAATCATAGCATATCAAAGTATCAGATAAAAATATCATTCCAATTAAAAATATCATAAAATCATAAATGTTAAAGTCAAGTACAAAAATGTGGCAACAAAATAATTGAAGGATTAAAAATGACAAACTCCATCGACAACATTCAGACGACTTAACCATAATGTTTAGATGGATGGTGAGCACAATTAGTGATCATGTAACGAATATGGGGTCGATATAGTAATCACACACCTAATTGCCTAAAACGGTTTTTTTTTTCCTAATTTGTGAAACTTAAAATAGAAGCGTTTATGAAATACGCAAGACTCAAAGAGCATGGGAGATATTTCAAGTCGGTTGCCTCAACAAGACGGTTTCTTAATCCGTTACTTTGTACCCTTGTCGTTTTCCAGCCGTTGGATTAGCATCTCGAACTTTCTCCAACCCTCCAACCAACTAACTGCGGTTACTTTAACAAAGGTATTGTGTGTTTCCTCAAATACCCCTAGACTTCGCCTAATTACGACCCAGCCACCTTCTTCTTCCCCCCTTTATATTCAGGCTTTCAGAAGTGCTATGTTTGCCAAACTGAAGAGCCGCAGGCCCCTCTCATAAATGATCTGAAATCAATAGATTAGTTTTCTGTTCAATTTTTTGTACGAAAAATGGCGGCGTCTTCAAAAAAATCGAACGGCCCGGTTTTACCGATCCGGTCGTGCTTTCAACACTCTCTCTCGCCGCCGTCAGGCCGATTCTCTTCGGCCGCCGGTATCGCGGACAAGACGGGGTTCGCTTCGTCGACTAGTTCAAGCTTTTGTTCGTCCCCGGCGAATGGTTTCATGAACCGGTCAACAAATACGGATTTCTTGCACCGGTCGACTTCTCCGACGCGCGTGAGCCTTCACGGCTTCGCGCCTCTCGCTCCTGTTCCGTCTGTGCGGTTCTCCATCGGCAGATCTCTCTCGCCGCACCGGTCAATGGCGATTTCGTCGCGTGATCAGGTGTTCCACAAGCAGAATGGTGGAAATACGCTGACGAATCTCCCGAAGAAGACGTGCTTGTGTGCTCCGACGTCGCATCCAGGATCGTTTCGGTGTAGTTTGCACAAGAAGGTGAACAACGTGGCGCAGTCGTCGTACTTCCCCAGCCGGCTGAACGCTCGAAGGTCCGCGATGACTAATTCGCTCGTCCGTATCGGTACTGTGGAAGGAGATCTGGTGAAGCGAGCTTTGGCTGCTCTGATTCGACCTTCGTCGCATCAGCAGAGGCGCCGGTCCGATTTTCAGCCTAGGCCAAGCCGGCTCTCGAAGATGTCGAAATCGGATGAACAATGAGTTTTGTAATTCATTTTGCAGGTTTATGATCTCGGCAGTGCTACGTGAAAATTTTGCACTCCCGGTGAAGAGTTTTCCGGCGATTGCGGTTCCGACTGCGGCTATATTACTCCGGTGAAACAAAACAGATGCAATTTAGGTGTTGACGGGGATAGTGAAATTCTTACATTGTACACAGAATTTGCAACTAACCGCTTGCAAGTGAAAGGGCATTATGAACAATCAATAGTAATCAGAATCTTAATCAATTTTTGTGACAAAAATAACCAAAATCACTTGAATTTTCTAGAGGAATGAGTTGTGTGTTTGATAGTGAGCCGCTATAGCTGACCCGATCCGACCCGTTTGTTCGTTTTGGTTTGGTCTTATTTACGTCCAGAACGCCGTTACTGGTTGACAATTTATGCCCGTTGTGTACACGTTGTCTTCTCCGACTCGCCGTAATCCATGGACGGTTTGACTTTAGGTGATCTGATTGTGAATAAAAAGGAGTATCTTGAGGACCAAGTCTATTGGTAGCGGAATCCATTATCGATATATGTAAAGACAAAAAGGAAATAGAGGACTCGGAATTTTACAGCAAAAGTGGCCATAAACAAAGTATATTGTGACAAGTGGAATATATTAAAAAGGTAATCAAGGAATAAAGAAAAGAGGTCCAATATATTAGAGGATTGTGGAGGAATACTGGCCACCACTTGAAAATCAAATGGGAAGGCAGCAATTGGTGGACGTTAATAAAAAGATATGCTACAGCTCAGCACTATAACGCGTTTAAGTCTTTGGTGGACTAAATGGCACTACGTACTGATTTGATTTCTAAAATGTAAAATCAAAACTAGTGAGGGGTGGTTGGAAGTTAAGACGCTTATTGGGGCCCAAGTGTACCTAATGCTTCACGCGGGGCACAACCTTTTCAAAAAGTCTTGGTACATCCTGGGTTACACACCCTCGGATACACCATATATAAACTCATTTTAAAATTTTACCCCATCTCTCCAAAAAAAACCTCCTCTGCAATTCTTCTTTTCCAATTCCCGCTTTCCCACTTTCCCACTCACCTCTTCTCCTCCCCCACAACCGGTTTTATTTTCAAAACCGATCCCAACACGTATCAAATACGTGTCAAAATACGGACTTATCAAAACCATAAACTGCATCTTTTGTAGGAGACTTCATGCCTATCTTTCGAATTTGTTCACATTCATCACCATTGTTATCTCCATCTGTTCACATAATCAAATAATCAGTTTACATTAACTCATTCATAGATACAACATTCATCTTTGTAGGTATACATTATAGTAGTAGGGTATATATTAACAACATTCATAGATATAAAATAATCTTGATAGGTATACATTAACAATATTCATAAATCAAATACGTCTTTGTAGGTACACATTAACAACATTCATAGATACATAACTCATTCATAGATACAACATTCATCTTTGTAGGTATACATTAACTCAATGAGAATTTCTTCAGTTGTCTATACATACCGACACTACTCTGTACACAGCGACATTAGTTGTCGGTACACATCGACACACCGACACTACCTCCAACATCTCATTCGTCTTCTCCCTGCTATTCTCTTCCCCGACACAACTGTAATCATCCCGGCTGTCAAATATCGGAACTTCGTTGACACCTTGTGTCACATGTCCACCACCTGTCCCACCTAAGTCTTCATCCCTAGCGTTGTTTGGACCACCATCTTCCTCGTTCCAGCCCACCATTTCCATCCTCCGTCGCAGCTCCATCTTCTTCGTTCACAACTTCTGCGTTTCTTCCATTTCCGTCGTCCGTCATAGGTATCTTCCAAACCTCCGTCATTTCCGGTCACTTCTCCATCCACCATCAATCAAATATGCTAGAAAACCATCCATTATATCTGGAAAAAGAAAATTAAAAAACAGAGAGAAAGGTGAGAAGCAGAGAACGAAGAGAGGGATGTGGGAGAGAAAGAAAATGTGCGTGAGGGATGGGGAGGGGAGGGCTGTGTGAGAGGAGGGGTAAAAGGAAGCAGTAAAAAAGAAGGTTTATATATGGTGTACCCCAGGGTGTAACCCAGGGTGTACATCAAGACTTTTTGCAACCTTTTTTATGTGTCCCTTTTTGTTTGAATTTTTTTATGTGCCGTGCATTTCAAAGGTTTGAAATGTTCCCTTTCAAAAAAAATTGTTTGAAATGTTTGAAATTATACGCTTTGCGTTAAATTACTATAGGTGATAAATATAGTATGAAATACTCCTTTTTTTTCTTTGAGGGCGTTTGGGGAGGGGCCTGAGGCCGGGAGTGAATGAGACTTAAATTCACTCTATTGAATTTCAAACCCGATCAGTTGAGTTGGACCGCTTCTTCTATGAAATACTTTTTTTCTTTCTTCAATACGTGTATCTTATTTCATTTTGGGTTATTATTAAAATAATCATCATTCTTTCTATTTTGAGAAAGTTTTTCCAATAAATATACTTATATATTATCACTTTTTTTCCTAGTTTTTTTCATTCTCTTTTGTAGTTTTCATTTAATGGCTCACTACATTTTTACATTACCCCTGTTATTTTTCTCTTAAAACACGTGTTAAAGTTTTTTTTTTTAAATAGTCAAACATTTTAACTCGTGTCAAAGTCTATGGGGACAAATATTAGAGAACGAAGAGAGTATAAAAAGTGAGATAACTTATAAAAGGGAGTATTGGAGATGAATAGTGATCCTATTTTGTTGCTTATCAGTCTTATCAGTCAACTTTATTGCGAAACATAAATTTTTTATTTCACAAAAAAGTAATGTCAGATTTACTTTTCTGATTGCTTGAAATTACTGTAAAATGTCATTTAATCCATCTTATATAATACGTAGTATTTCTTTATTATACTTCCTCTGTTCCCTTGTAATTGCAACAGTCAACATTTCACGTTTGCCAACGCACGAGTTTGACCATTAATATCTTTCAATCCTTATTAGTAAAAAATTTAAAAAATTCATATTTTGAAAATTTAGAATGAGAAGAATTTAACAATATTTTTTTAAAATTAAATTCGTAATACATTAATAAATAAACTATAGTCAAAGTAGAATGTGTGAATAGTGCAAACAGTCCTATGTTGCGATTAAAAGAGAACGGAGGTAGTATTAATTATTTGTGAACATATATATTTAATAAAATACTACGTAACTAATAAAATAAAGGAAAAAATTAGAAGTGAACTTCATTTTTAATTATGAAGTAAACTTCATGATTATTAATTATTTGTGAACTTAATTATATTTTTTATATAATAAAGTATATTTTAAATATACTTTTCATTAATCCGGCCACTTCATCTTGAACTTCTTAAATTTTAAAAAATCGGCTCATTTTGACTATGTTCGTCAAGTCACAAAAGCTCAAAATGAGATGAAATATTTCAATTCCAATATAATCAATTATTATAGGAGTAGACCCATTTGGTAACAAAGCTTTATTATGAGCGGAATCTGAAAAAAAATAGGGTTAAATAGCAACGCTTTCCACTCCAGCGTTTCTGTTCAGCGGGTTTTAAAATTTTGTAACGTTCCCAAATTATCTCCACACTCATTTTTCTCTCATTCTCCCCACCAACTTTTTGTCTGATCATTAGTCATTACTTTCTCCCCATATCTTCACCCGCTTCCTTGTGTGTATTGCTTGTGGGAATTGGGATATACATCATCATTGAACACGATTGACTAGTTGTTCTTATTGATTAACAAAATAATAAAATAATGATGATACTAATAGTTAAAAAATTACCACTTACATTCTCGGCTATGAAAGCTAAAATATTGCTTCATATATATACATATATAAATTTAAATATTATATATAGACACACGCATACATATAAGTATACTCCCTCCGTATTTAAAAATTTGTTACACTTTCCTATTTTGGATGTATTTATAGTTTGCTACATTTTATATTTTTGGTAAGTTTTTCTTTAAAAATATTCAATTACCCTTATTTTTCTATTTTTATCTCCTCTTTCCTACTTTTTTTTACCTTATCTCCTACTTTGTTTTACCTTATCTCCTACTTTTTTACGCTATTAATTACTCATACTATTCTCACCTTAAAATCTTGTGCTAACACCTAATGTAGAGTCATTTAAATACGGGGGAGTATATACAAAGATTTTAAGAGATTGAAAATACAAAATCATTATAATAAGTATTTGATTTTATTAATAAATCATATGCCCTTTAATGTAATTTCATACTATCCGAACATTTTTAAGCTCTTTTTGCCAAACCGGTTTACTCATTCAGCTAGCAAATAAATCAGTTTCAACATTTCAAAGTTAAACTTCAGACAATATTCTATAATTTAGACAATAGTCCCTAATTCAGACAATAGCCTCCAGTTTCAGCTCGTTGTACATGCCAAACATAGCCTAGTCAATTTCAGTGTCATCAAACAAGATTAAAATTAGATGCTTAAGACTTCTACTATAATGCTTTAAAAAAAGACTTCTACTATAATTTGTAATGCTTTATTTAATTTAAATATTTTTTTTATCATATATAGTTAATTAGTACCAATCTAGTTACAACTTATTATTTGGGTTTTAAATTTGTCATAGTTACTAATCTAGTTACTACTTATTATTTGGGGCTTATATTTGTGATAGTTACTAATCTAGCTACTACTTATTATTTAGGGTTTGTCCATAATTAATACAAAAGCAGATGTTTTGGAGTTTGGTCAAATATAGAACCACTTTTAAAAAATTACAAAAATGACACTAAACTACTACTATTGACCATGCCTAATTGACCCGTGTCTAATTCAGCCAGTGATCAATCAATCGTGACCAGTCTGATCGTGACCAATCCGACTGTGACTAATCCGACTGTGACCAATCCGACCAATGACCACCCTCACCAACAACTGTGACCAATATTACTAGTGACTAATCTGACTAGTGACCAATCCGACTAGTAGCCAACTCGCCCAACGACTGTGACCAACCCGACCAACGGTCATATATGATCAATCCGAGAAGTGACCAACCCGACCAGTTACCATCCCATGACCAAATTGGCCAGTGACCAATCCAACAAGTACTGACCACGTGCAGTCCAATTTGACCATATACCAATGCGGCCATTGTTGGCCCCGACCGCCGCCGTGTTAGGCCACCGCCCAGCCTAGTGTAAGCCACCGTGCCGTCTCCCCGCACCTACGACCTACCCTTTCCCCCTCCCCTGCACCAGCCCCCTTCCCTTCAAAAGCCCTTTCTCCCAACACCGTTTGCAACCCCCTCTACCTCAGCTCCCACCCTAGCAGCCACAGATGAAGACCTGCAGCGCCAAGCACGGTGCGACGAGAAGGGAATGCTCCAGACCTTGTGATGGAGAAGAACGAAGATGGCATATCTGCAGCGTCTGAGCATGGTGCGACGACAAGGGAAGCAATGACGGCGACGGCGCTGCTTCTCGACGACGTACAAATGTGGCACAATTTCTCAATAATGATGGTGGTGCAGTTGCTCGACGTCGGCGGCAGTTGAAATGCTAATGGAGCACATCCGTTTGCCGGTCTCGTATTCCGGTCTGAAATGGCGCTGCTTTGGTCTCGTTCGCAAGTTAGTCGTAGCTTAGTAGGTCTGATCTGTTTTTTGTCCTTCCTAATGATGTTATTATTTGGGAATTTACAAACGTTTTTTTGTCCTATTTAGGGCAATTTCCCATTTTTGTTTAGTTAAACTCTCAACTCCTATTTTTGTCATTTTTTCTCATTATTTCACATGGTATCAATTTTTTTACAATACTGGCTATTTCCAAAATCAAAGTTCCTTCCCCAATGGTGTTTCCCATGGGAGCCATCGCCCTTGGAAGGGGGACTTCCCTCCACCACTCACATTGTGTCTGACTGAGCTGGTTGCTCACAACACCAACACCAACAATAATAATAATTCTAACAACAACAACAACAACTATAGTAATCATAATGATGGCACTATAGACTTATCTGTTATTCCAATTCAACCTAGCTAATAAACCTTAGTCTTAGTACTAACAAAAAAGAGTAATTGAAATTATCTTAGTATATATTACTAATAGCGTAATTTGTAAAATTTCTCCATTTAATTAAATTATCTTTAGTTGGATATGCGGGTCGGAAAGTGATAAAAGTGATAAAATCTTCCCGGTTTGACTTGGCACGCTTATTAAGAAAATGGAATAAAGTGGAAATGTGTGGTTGTGGTCAAGGAAGCATATGCGGGTCGGAAAGTGATAAAAGTACTACCTCAGTTCCTAAAAATTCTTCCCAGTTTGACTTGGCACGCTTATTAAGAAAATGGAATAAAGTGGAAATGTGTGGTTGTGGTTGTGTAAGAAAAAGATAAAATGAATGTGAGCCACACAAATTGTCCAAAAAGGAAAAGTGAGAAGAATTTTTGGGAACAGTCCAAAAAGGAAAGTGGGAAGTATTTTGGGGAATGGAGGGAGTATAAGTCTGCTACGTTGTGGTTCTTATGAATAAGCACGGTGAGCTGATCAGCCTGATCATTTTGTTTGAGGTCATTTTGTTTGCTATTTTTCAATCTTGCGTGTACTTTATCCCCCTTAATGAATTAATGCAGCAAATTTTACAAAAGGCTAAAGGGTCAAATAGGTACATGAACTAACCTAAAGTGTTCAATTAGCCCCTTATATAGAAGTTTCTGCCCAGACGTCGCCAATTGGGGCGGTTCCCGGTGGAATTTTTTGATGAATTTTTTTGAGCATCTTCTTCATTAAGTCTAGTGTACCCAGACCAAATTTCAGCTAAAAATTCAACCGGAAAGGCAGTCGAATGATTTTCTGAAAAATTAAACAGCGCAGTACATTTCGGAAAATAATTCGACTGCCTTCCCGGTTGAATTTTTAGCTGAAATTTGGTATGGGTAAACTAGAATTAATGAAGAAGATGCTCAAAAAATTTCATCAAAAAATTCCACCGGGAACCGCCCCAATTGGCGACGTCCAGGCAGAAACTCTTTTATAAGGGGTTAATTGAACACTTTAAGTTAGTTCATGTACCTATTTGACCCTTTAGCCTTTTAAATAATACAATCCAAGTGCTCTAGTCTAATATAGGGACATCAACAAAATCTAAGGACCTAACAATTTCCACTTTTTGATGATGCCAAAATAAA